TTGCATTAACACATAGAAAAGGGTAGCCTAGTTTTGTCAGGTTAAATTTTAAAAATATAATTTCCTGGATTAAATCTGGGGAGAGCTGTGACCTCTGGGTACTGAGGGTGTTCCCAGTAACTGAGATGCTCTCACTCTGAACTCCTGTATGTGGGCATGACAATATCTGCTGGAAAACCAACCTAAGGTTTGGCTACATCTGATTTTTTTATTCCCAGTAAGTGAGAGACTCTGTAGTAGAATGCAAAGAAGTTTCTGAAAGCAATGCTTTCGTCGTTTCAGAGGTGCTACTCTAGAATAATCAGGCTTTACTAGAGTGGTAAAGACCTTGGTCCAAATACATCTCAACTCAGTCTGCCTCTGCCTGTAGCTCCGTGACCACAGACACCAGATATGGAGGAGGACCTCTGCTACATAGTGGTGCTGCCACTGCTACAAAGAGTATCTCCACTTGCCAACTCGTGCTGTTCCTTCCTTATATCCTATCTCTGCATCTCTTACACTTTATTAAATAGTCTGTCTTTCCGTAGAGACAGGGTATTACTCCTTATAGTCAGATTGTGCTTTATCTGTGGGTCACAAATGGTGGTCAGCATGAAATCTGGAGTGGTGTCCAGAATTTCACACATGAGACCTTTCAATGTCTCCTTTAACCTCCTAATAAGAACTGCTATTTCTAGATACAGCCCCTTTCCAGAGTATAGGGCTAAGCATTAGTGGCAGGCACACAGCCCTAACCCAAACTGGCACTACCTTCCTGGCATCTGCTACTATGGAAAAAAAAGACAATAACTAACTAAAGGTTGGAGAACGGAGAGCAGAACATTTCCAGTGTTGAAAACTACTGGGGAAAAAATCTTTAATATATTCATCAGCTTGCTCAATTTCACACAATAGTAAGAAACAGAACACAACCCAACAACTAACACAATGCTGCTAGTTCACATTATCAGAGTGTCGGCAACATGAACTGAAAAACTCACAGGCAGTTCTATTTATAGATTTTCAAACTCATCCCTTTAAAGTTCAAGGGACCCTCCGACCACCCCCACATTCATTCACTTTATTGATCTGTGAGACAGACTGAAAGACAAGTATGACCTCTCCTCATTCGTTCCCCACTCACTCCTATCCTCCACAATAATCTACACCCAAATATTACACCAAAAGGACTTACTTTCAAACTGTAGCGAAGAGCTGGTCTTACACAGCCTATCTCCGCTTTAGATCCCAGTAAGGCTCAGGAACAAGTATGATAAATCCACAGGGTAATATTTCCAGCAGTCAAAATACTCCAATAATATCCCAATCGCAATCCCAATGACTGGACGACACACAGCATCAGGAGCAGAACTAAACTTTTAATCACAGCAATTCCTTATAAAGGTTTCTCCCATGCAAGGGAGGGATTTAAAATAATTAGGACAGTAACCATTAGTACAGTAGTTCCCTCCCATACATTCCCTCCCCTCATTGTGACACTTAATCCACTTATTCCTGGTACAGTTTTCCCTGCTTTCTGGATGTACCCCAAAACTTTGGGGTACAAGGATTTAAGTGGCATCCCCTGGTAGCCCTGGTCTGGGTGACCAACATACTCAAAATTCACCCAGATCAGCCCAGGGGTTCGGGAGTTATGGGGAATAAACTATTTGACCGACCGCACACGAATATGGCGGCCACCCAGATATAGCAATGAAACACAGATTAACTGTAGTTAGAGAAGTGTGAAAGTCTTAATAAGGTACACACTTCTCTCTGAGGTGGTCTATTGATTCGGTAGTTTCCATTCGTATGAAATATGAATAAAACTACCGAACAAGCATACGAATTACACATACAATTTCAATTATACAGTAAGCTAAACACACGAACAGTCTTTTAAACATAATCCTGGCGGACAGTCCCATGCCATCCGCTACACAAACATTACACCGACAGCGAGGACAGGGACATTACGAGACTAGGACACTTGAGTGGCAAAACATTTGAATATGCTGAAATCCCAAACCATGAAACTTTCACAACATTTTTGCTTTCAGCAACTTCAAAGTTTGGCATCCTTTTAAGTTATACAAGAGACAGGATCCTCCCCACGAACTACCTTTGAAAAGGACTGCTTACAAATGCCTGCCAGGAAGGGCCAGATCTATGACATATACCTATCTCTGGCCACTCATATCACTAAAATCTCTTTTCCATACATTGGGAAAATGGCCTTGGCCCACATGACAACCCAACAGACTGGACAGACTTGACAACCTATAGCCTCAAGAACGATTCGTTTGTTGCACTTAGAACAGATATAGGAGATGTTATTTATGGTGAGACAGGCACCTTTCTCCACTGCAGGTGGAGTTACCCTAAACTCAAACCACTATGGATGGGTATAACAGCATTCATTTATAGGACCTTTAGTAGACCTTTTCCTTGGAACCATGGGCACAATTTCTTCCAAAACCTGTTAACCCATTTACAAGACATTAAAATAAACTCGCAGCTAGATTAGCTTTAGCCACGCGTAGAGCGAATGGCGATTTGAGGGCCACTCCAAAAATTCCCTCCATCCAAAATACACTGAACAAAATTATAAACGCAACACTTTTGTTTTTGCCCCCATTTTTCATGAGCTGAACTCAAAGATCTAAGACTTTTTCTATGTACACAAAAGGCCTATTTCTCTCAAATATTGTTCACAAATCTGTCTTAATCTGTGTTAGTGAGCATGTCTCCTTTGCTGAGATAATCCATCCACCTCACAGTTGTGGCATATCAAGATGCTAATTAGACAGCATGATTATTGCAAAGGTGTGCCTTAGTCTGGCCACAATAAAAGGCCACTCTAAAATGTGCAGTTTTACTGTATTGGGGGGATCCGGGAGGATCCGAAAACCAGTCAGTATCTGGTGTGATCACCATTTGCCCCATGCAGTGCTACTAATCTACCTCCAGGTCGCTGGCTGTCTCCACCACTCTGTGGTGGTGCACCATGAGCACAAGGTGCGCCACCCCTGCTCCGGTTTTCTACAAACCCGCGACCACACCACGTGGGTTGCGGCATGCAGTGGAAGGGACACAAACTCTGCCCCGCGCACTGGTGAACCTCTCCTCCAGCGGACGAACCAAGTAACATGGAAGGGTTCCCCTTTCCTTTTCCCTATTTAGGCACAGACCACCCCATAGTCTGTGCTCAGTTGTTTTTTTGTTCACTTGAATAAACTCTTGCCTGCCTGAATTCTACCTTGAGTCTTGATTAACCCATGCAACGATGTTTTAACCTTGGTTAACCCCTGCAGCGCTGTTTCAACCTTGGTTAACAACTGCAACGCTGTTTCAACCTTGGCTAACCCTTGCAACGCTGTTTCAACCATGGTTAACACCTGCAAAGCTGTTTCAACCTTGATTAACCTCTGCAACGCTGTCCCAGCTTTGATTTATATCCTGCAATTTTTCTACAACTTCAATCAAGCCTTTCTTCATTTGCCAAGTGCTGGAACTCTGATAAAAGACCATTATTTTTCCTTAAAGACTTTTATTTCTTATGAAGGAATTGCTTTATTTGCCATTATACTTGCATTTGGGCTTTTGCATTATATTTATTTATTTTCAAAATAAAAACCTTTTAATTCAGTGTCTGTGTCTGTATACAATCCCGAGCCCATTCAACCCAAACCTGTGACACTTCCTCAGGTGCATATAACAATACATATCTTATTATAAAAAGGGGCCAATTTTCAAAGTCAATGTTTAACCCTTTAGGGCATAGCGTTTGGAGTTCAAAAATCCATTTTACTTCACTTTTATTCAGATTGAAAACGCTATTCCCTCCCCTCCAGTATGTGTCAATTTTTTGACTGCCCATAAATCCATTTCTTTGGGGTTAGAGTTATGTGTTTCTAAAAAGTGTTTAGACACACTGTGGTTTAAAAATCCAATTTTAATATTTCTAATATGCTCACTGATACGTGGTCTGGACGTCCTCCTTATGTACTGAAGACCATGCGCATCTAAATAAATATATTACATTCTAAGATTACCACGTAATGAAATATTTAATGTTAAAATCCTTTTTTGTTACTTCCGAAATAAAATTATCTTTCTTTTTATTAGTGATTATTGTATTTTTGCAAGCATTGTGTCACGTATTCATCCGCACATAAAAATGAAATTTACCGTCCTGACAGGAAAAGTTGTGCCGAGCAGAATTACCATCCTGACAGGAAAAGTTGTACCGAGCAGCAATCATGCACATAGAAACCTGGTAAGTGATTTTGGGGTCAACGGCCGGTTACAGCCAATCGGATCCACAGGAGGGGTATTTAAACCCAATTCTCCTTTTGCTCATTGCCCTGTCGTGGTTTCATCCTGATGGTAATCCGAGAGTGCGTCCCTGATCTTGATTTTCTGGTATTTGACTTTGGCTTCGTTTTGACTTCCCTGAATTCTGTTATCCTTGACTTTTGGCTTTCCCTCATCATTGTGTCTCATTCTGTGTTCCTGACCTCGTATTTTGACAATTCTTGGATACGTTAAGTCTGGTCATATTAAGGTACTGTTCTACGTTATCCTTAGTCCTAGGTGTGACACAATTCTGGGTGCTGGATTAACTTGTAATCCTGACATTACGACATGGCCATAGATCCTGCAGAATTGTGTCAGCACATAGCAGCTTGTGAGAGAAAGCTAGAGTAGAATGATCATGGTATGGATCAATTTGCCCAGGCTTTTAGCATGCTCCTTACTAGGATGACTCATTTACAACCTGAGGATTCTCCGATGATGTCACCGCTGCCTAATGCACATCCACTTATAGTATATAAGGTACCTACGATCTCCTTATCTCCTCCCCCGCATTTTTCTGGTAATATCCAGGAATGTAGGGGATTTCTCAATCATGTTTAGTACCACTTTGAGGCCTCACCTGGTTCATTTCCTGCTATTGCCTTTGAGGTCCTATGGCTCTGTGCCCTGTAGTTTATTCTTTGGACCCAGCTTTTCTGTCATTTGGCGCGTAGGGCTCTAGCTAGCATTTTGCTACATTTATTAGCGTGTTCATAGAACGCTTTCTGGGCTAGCCGAAATTGGAATTGGATCTTGGCCGTGAGGCATAATTGTAGTTTCGCCCTGACCGCCGTCAGGCGTCTGTATGCGTCGTCGTCTAGGGTGTCTTTATGTTGCGTCTCCAAGGCCGCTATTTGGGTCATCAGGTCTAAAATCTGTTGAGTGCGGAGCTTCTTCTGGTGCGATCCGTGCTTAATTAGTATCCCCTGATCGTGCATTTATGAGATTCCCATATTGTGGATGGGTTAGCTCCTGGGGTGGCGTTTGTTTGGAAGAATTGTTCCAAAGTCTTGGTAAGGTCCGCGTGTATCATTGGGTTTTCCAGTAGAGCCTCGTTCAGTCTCCATATCCATTGCTTTTGGGTGGGGCCCAGTGGTTTGATGGATATGATTACTGGCGCGTGGTCAGACCATGTCATTGGGGCAATTCGTGCTGAAATGAGGTTGTCCAGGTTTCGGTGTTGCATAAAAAAAGTAGTCCAGTCGGGAGTAGGATTTATGTGCTGTCGAGTAGTAGGTGTAGTCCTTGGTAGCGTGAAGTATTGTGTGCCAGCAGTCCATGAGCATGTGGTCATGTAACAGTGCCCTGGTACCCTGTATGATGTGGTCCGGGAGCGTTGTTGTTCCTGAGGATGTGTCCAACCTGAGGTCCAGCGGGACGTTGAAGTCCCCCCCCAGGACCATAGATCCTGCAGAATTGTGTCAGCACATAGCAGCTACCTTCTCCGAATGATTCCAGGGCTTCGAGTGTAGCCCTTAGAAAGGACTTCTGTCCCTTGTTCAGAAGGTATAAATTTGCGAAGGTGAACTTTACATTATGAATTGTGCCCCTCAGGAAGAGATATCTACCCTGCGAGTCCGACTGCCTCCTTCTGGAAGGCTACATCTGCCGAGAAGAGAATCGCCACTTCCTTGGTCTTGGAGGTGGGGTTGTTTGCGAAGAATCCCGTCTGATAATACTTGTTAGAGAATCTTGGTACTTGGTTTGAGAGGAAGTGGGTTTCCTGAAAGAACGCCACGGATACTTTTAGTGCCCTGAGTTCTCGCAGTGCTTGTGCCCTCTTCTGTGGGGAGTTAAGTCCCCTAGCATTGATTGTGTAAAACACCATCCCCTCTCTGGGTGGGGCGCCCAGCCCGGTGGCATCAGGCATCTCCGGGGAGGAGTGGCACCGGGACTGAGCTCAGGGGCCGGCAGGGGAGGGGCCATCGGCAGGGGGAAGGCACCGAGATGGGGGGGAGGGAGAGAACAGGGGGACAATGAAGAAGAAAAAAGGGGGGGGGAGACAAGGGAGGAGGGCTGGCAAGGGGGTAGAGAAAAAGCAGGCTGGGGGAGCTGGCTGGTTGCAAGGTACCGCGTATGACGGTCTCAGTAGAGGCAATGTGCCTCTGGGCCCCATGGTGGGGTTACTGTGTTCTTCCTCTAACTTCAGAGCCACATAAATGCGGCAGTACGCCCGTGGGGTAGTGTCTGGGTTTCCGAGATATCTGACCGTCCCTGATGCCTTGGGTTACGGTCCACAACCATAGTTATAGTCAGTGTAGTCGTCTTGTCCTCGTGTGACCCCTGTCAGTTTCCATATCTGGTCATACCTCTTATGGATTCTTGTGCAAGTGAGGTGTGAACCCCTATTGTCCCATGTGTTGGGACAGCCCAGGGTCCATCGTACCATCAAGGTAAATCTCTCCCTAGCGTACAAGCTGCTTGTCTGCGTCAGTAGTGGTGGCCTGTGTTACTCTTGTCTTTCTCTGTAAGGTAGTCTAAACTTGTGTTGTTGTTGAGAGGTAGTGAGCCTGTTTTAGATCCCTCTGGGAACCCACGTGCGGGTCCCTGGTTGTTGCCATATTGGCTGCCATTGTTGTATTGTGTGCTTGTGTTGTTGGCAGTGTGTCTTGTATTACCTGTTGCCTGTGTGTAAATGAGGTTGGGTGTGATGCCCATGGCCTTCCAGAGAGGTCGGCCGGTGCAGGGGATGTCCCGATAGGGAGGTGGATTAACCAAGCATGTAATTTATGCGGATCGTGGACCAGCGCCAGTGTGGGAAACGTAATTCTATTCACCCCTTCCCCCATATGGATGTCCCCCCAACCCCAGCATACCTCTCCTCTGTCATCCCCCCCATTCGTGCCCCCCCTCCCGACTGGTAACCCCCCGGCGTGCCAACCTCCTTTCAGTGCTTTCTCGGATCTGAGTACCTCTTACAGCCATGGGTTCCCCCCTGCGGGTTGCTGGGGTGTGTGCGCCCTATCTGTTACGTCCCATGGAGGGTGTATCGTGAGATTTGTTCCCCTATGCGGTGGAGGGTTCGTCCCTGTCCCCCCCGGCCCCGCTCCCGTGTCCCCCCCATTGTGTGGGGCATATAGATTACTTGGTGACCCCCCCCCTGGACAAGGGAATTGGGCGGGGGCAAAGGCCGGGGTAGAAGGGCAGAGGGAGGCGCGAGTGAGGCGCTTATGGTGCCTACCTATACGTGTAGTTGTTATTATCCGGAGTAGAAACACCCCCCCGCGGCACCGTGTAAAAGGGTGAGAAGGGAGACATGCACAAATGGTAAAGAAAAGATTCCATAAAAGAAAACAAAATTAATGTAGTAGTCCCCTCTTGTAAGGCCCATCACATGTGTATTGAGGGATCTCGCTTACTGGTTTATAGTCTCGTTTAGACCCCCTGCCGCTCTGCCGATTATTCTTCTGGACCGGCTTGGGGAAGCCAGGAGATGTCCGTCCTCACGTTCCCCTCCATCTGGTATCTTTGGCTTGCTGGTTGCCCTGTGTTCCGCTAGTTCAGAGGGCAGTTCAGCCAGTTCAGAACTTAGTGCTTCCGTGAAAAGCAGGTACATCCTCCGGCGTGCGGATGGTGGCTCTCGTGTTCCCGCTACGGCCTAGTAAAGCGAAAGGGAACATCCACCTATATGTGATCGTGATTGGCTTCAGTGCTCTTCTTGTTTGCAGAGTGAGGTGCGATAGATCGTTGTACAGCTCCACCATGTGACCTTCGAATCGCCAGGCCCGTTCTGCTCTCGCCTTCATTATTATGTCAGTCGGTAGTCCTTGATTCTGCATATGATGTCTCTTGGTGGTGTGTCGGGCGGCGGACGCAGGCACGGGCGTAGCACCCGATGGGCTCTGTCCATTGTTATTCTGGCATCTGGCGGGTGGCCCAGGATCATGTTGAAAAGGCGGGTAAGTGTTGCTTTTAGGTTTTCCTGGTCCGGGGCCTCCCGCAGACCCCGTACTCTTATGTTGTGTCTCCTGCTTCTATTATCTAAATCCTCGATGTGCAGTCTCATATCTGTGATCTGTGCTGCATGCTGCTGTATAGCGGATGGGACCGGGCCTCCCGTGCGGGAGTCTCTCTCTTCTAGGGAGCTGATCCTGTCTTCCAGAGACTTCATCGAGGTGAGGACTGATGCGATTTTGCTCTGCAGCATGCCTTTCACCTCTGCTACCAGCATGTGAAAGTCTTCTTTCCTGGGCAGGGAGGCAAAGAGTGCCTACCAGTCTGGGGTTGATGAAGGTGATTGCCCGTCTTGGTCTGGTGTGGATTCTGCCTCTGATACTGTGGATACAAAAAACAAAATATGTGTGCACAAACCACAGTGCAATAAGTGCTCAATAGATAAATAGCAGAAAAAAACCTCCCTGAACCAGGTAGTCTTCCCAGAAGATTTCCTCTTGTCTTCAATAGAATATATACAGAGAAATAGGCGATAATCTGCTAAATAAATTACTAGAACAATGCATAGCGCATAACTGTGTGTATGAATAAACCAAGTGTATAATTCACAAATGGCCACTCACACTTTCGCTGAAATTAGAATGCCTTGAAAATAAATTCCTTTTTTCAGCATAAATGCCTTTCCAGGAATAATTCTTCCATCTCTATTCAATCTCTCATGGATCAGCTGGAAGGTGTGTGCTCAAAGAAAAAGCAATAAAATTGTAGTGCACATTTAAAAATGTAGAAAAAATAATTTAATCACTTACATCAAAATATAAAACAATGGATGTAATCTGTCACCACCAGGGGTTTGAAATAAGTGATTAAATTATTTTTTCTACAGGTATCCGGGTATTAATAAAACTGTATCCGCCATTTCCAGATCATTTTCGTGGGAGTCACTCAGGAGGGATATTAAAGATTATGTAGAAGCCTGCTCTGTCTATGCAGTTTCGAAGGTTCGTCATAAACTTACGTGTGGATTGTTACAGCCACTTCCTATACCCAGTATCCCATGGCCTCATTTATCAATGGATTTCATTGTTGAACTGCCTAGTTCCAATGGGTTTTTCCAAAATGGCACACTTTACTCCACTTAAAAAATTGCATTGTCTCAGGACCTGGTGCACATATTTATACGCGATATTGTCAGGCTACATGGTATTCCTCAAAATATTGTGTCTGACAGGGGTTCCCAATTTTCCTCTGCTTACCATCCCCAAACTAATGGTATGGCTGAAAGAGCTAACCAATCACTTGAGCTGTATTTACATTGCTTTGTAAGTAGTACACAGTATAACTGGGCTGAATTATTGCCCGGGGCCGAATTTGCTAGGAATAACGCTACCCATGAGACATCTGGGCATAGTCCATTTTTTGTCAATATGGGTCGTCATCCTGCGGTTCTCCCTGCTGTGTTTTCTGATACGGCTATTCCTACTCTGGATGATCACCTTACCTCTATTCATGATACCTGGACTAAGGTTCACTCCGCTCTTGAAACTGCTGCTGCTCACTTTAAGTTTCATGCGGATAAATGGTGGAGTGCCAATCCAGTTTACCAGGTGGGTGATTGGGTTTGGTTATCCTCACACAACATCAGGTTGAAGGTTCCAAGCATGAAGTTTGCTCCGAGGTTCCTTGGTCCTTTTCGTGTGGTAAGGAGATCAACCCTGTTTCTTATTCTCTGGCCCTTCCAGCATCTTTACGTATACCTAATACTTTTCATGTGTCCTTGCTCAAACCACTTGTTTGCCATCGGTACACAAGTCCGGTTGTTCCCCCTCCTTCTTTGGTTGTTTCTGGACAGGAGGATTACGAAGTCTCCTCCATCATTGATTCCAGGTTTTCTCGTGGTTCATTACAGTATTTGGTTGATTGGAGGAGGTATGGGCCTGCTGACTTGGGTTTCGGCTTCTGATATCCATGCTGGGCGTAAAATTTGTTCTTTTCACGCCAAGTTTCCTCTCAAACCTGATCCTTCCCGCCCGGTGGGCGGTCTTCAGGTGGGGGGGTAATGTCATTCATGTATTTATCCGTACATAAAAATGTGGATAATGGCATTTACCATCCTGACAGGAAAAGTTGTGCCAAGCAGCATTACCGTCCTGACAGGAAAAGTTATGCTGAGCAGCAATCATGCACATGTGTGACAGATCCCTCTGTCTTAGAACTATAGTGCGTTCCCGGTGGATTCATGTAATTGCTTGTCCGTATTTCCCTGTTAGTTTGTTTTATAATCTACCGAACAAACTGCCGAACGGCCGGCCACCCAGAAGAGGAGTGTGCTGCTGGTTAACCTATTGGCCACCTCCTAATTGAAACCATATGCTGGGTGGTCGTCATTCGTGTGCCAACCATGAGGCGGCGGCCATCTTAGATGCACGAATACACAGCGGTGTTCGTCGACAAACTTATGGAACTCAAAACGGACACTTTTTCTCCCGAACACCGCTGAAAACCGCCGACCTCCATTCTTTGTCATCCGGCATACGAACACCGGTCCGTCCGGGACTGTGTGTATTGGATCTGAGCGCCATTCGGTAATAATGTGCGCTCAGATCTAGGCTATCTGGGGATACGTTATATGTGTGGAATGCATCCGGTAGTTTTGAAGTTATGGAATTTTATGTATTTTTACTGTATTATTTAAAATGGCGTTTTGCCTCTATCTATGGAGATAATTGGATTTCTTCCCAATTATCTCCAGGATAGAGAGGAAGGGTTGCTTGTACAAAGGGGAGGGTTTATGTCTGAGCACTGTGATTGGCTAATGTATCATACTTGTACCAGTCTTCCATCTGGTCCCCTATGGGAGTGTCCACCAGGTGGGAGACCTGCATAAATACCGGACAGGTAGCCCTCATTAAAGCAGATTCCTGTTTTACCCTCAAGACGGAGCTTGGTCGCGTGTTTGGGGGGATTGCTACTTTGGAGTATTCTTTCGCCTGTTCCAGGAGAGGAGGAGTTCGTATGATTCTCTGTTCGGGAGTTTGAAGCATTCCCTTATATTCCGTTCGGGAGTTTGGCGGTCTAAGCAACAGTGCCTGTGTCTCTAAAGGGGGAAGATCTACTAAACGTTGGTTTCACTCATTTATGCCGGGAGTGTCTTAACAACATGGAAACCTGGTAATTGCTTTTGGGGTCAAATGCCGGTCATGGCCAATCAGATCCACAGGAGGGTTTGTGCTGAGCAGCAATCATGTACATGGAAACCTGGTAATTGCTTTTGGGGTCAAAGGCCGGGTTACAGCCAATCGGATCCACAGGAGGGGTATTTAAACCCAATCCTCCTTTTGCTCATTGCCATGACGTGGTTTCACCCTGATGGTAATCCGAGAGTGCGTTCCTGATCTTGATTTTCTGGTATATGACTTTGGCTTCGTTTTGACTTCCCAGAATTCTGGTATCCTTGACTTTTGGCTTTCCCTCATCGTTGTGTCTGATTCTGTGTTCCTGACCTCGGCAAGTATTTTGACTATTCTTGAATACATTAAGTCCGGCCATTCTAAGGTCGGTTAAACCTTATCCTTAGTCCTAGGTTTGACACAGTTCTGCGTGCTGGATCAACTTGTAATCCTGACACATTGCAATCGTCACAGTGATAGAAGCCTTTTCGATTTTTAGCCCATTCTTCCAAAAAGTTGTTCTTCTTAGCTGCACTGGGTTACTTGGTCCTTTATATTAGATTTTAGTGCCACTTTTTCCCTGTACATTGTCTTTGTATAATGATCTATACACTAAAATGGCTTCCTTAAGCTAAAGTTATTTTGCTGCCTATAATGTCATTTTCAAGATTGGTGGAACTTGACAATGATTGGCTGATAAAATACTCAATAAAGATCAAATAGTACTGCATGATGATTGGTCCCTGATTGTGGTCACAGGATTGGTCACAAAAAGCTCACAAGACATAGTTGCTGCTCTGTCATTGGCTGCAGCTTTGTGCACACAATTAACTAATACAAGAATGGTGCCAAATTAAATTTGTCAACGCGTTCTTTTGGATGTTTATGACATGGTGATTCTGTATTTGTTTTCCGACTAAATGAATAAATAACTCAGTTTTCTGTTATTTTGCCGATGGTCTGAAAACAGACATTTCTAATATATGTGCATGGTGCCTGTGTTTACAAATGTAACTACTCTTCATTTTGAAAATACATTTATATATATGCATTTTATATGGTTTTCCCAACCTTAGGATCTCAGAATCAAAACAAGCAAAGTCTCTATATTAATTAACTTGTAAAATAGGACGGGAGAACAGAAAACAGGAATAAACACTTGTTTAAAACTACTAGTTTATATGAAAATACTGCCTCACACAACATCTCTTTGTTATCTACCTGTATTGCCAGTAACAAATGAATGAAGACTCACATTATACAGCTATAACCTCACAGTGTACTGTGTGTTCTTGTTTAGCACAAACGTATTTACTGTACACAGTGTGTGCCATTTCACCATTATGAGCTTGTAGTAGTCATAGTGATATCAAAACTTTTCACTGGATTAGTTAATTAGCCTGAAATATTACCTACCCATCCCTGAATTAATTACATTTTCAAAGCTAGGATTAGTCCCCTGACATTTATAGGGTTACTTTAAGCACCATCACCACTTTTTCAAATTGCAAAGTTTAGCCTCTCGGTAAACTATAGAGTAAATCACCGCAAAACAAACAGATTTATTCACTAAAGTGAGAATTCAAAGTGAATTCAAGGGGAATTTCAAATCTAAGGTCAGAAAAGCCAAACTGGAAAATTTCTCTAAGTCAATTGTACTTTAAGTTTGGCTACTCTGGACTCAGGGCCGCCATCAGAAATTTTAGGGCCCCTGTCAAAGCACAAGGTCTGGGCCCCCCTCCCCGGGCCGGCCCACGCCCTACCTAGTCCGCTGACAATGATACAGGACTGAATGTGGTGTGTATAGTGGAAGTGAATTAGAATGTGTGTAATGGATGTAGTGTTTGTGCAGATATTGCAGAGTGTGTGTTTGTGTAGTGGATGCAGTGTGTATAGTGAACGCAGAGTGTGTTTGAGTAGTAGATGTAGTGTGTGTACAGTGATGTAGTGTGTGTTTGTGTAGTGGATGTAGTGTTTGTGTGTACGATATGAAATGTGTTTAGTGGATGCAGTGTCTGTAGTGGATGTAGTGTGTATAGTGAACGCAGAGTGTGTTTGAGTAGTAGATGTAGTGTGTGTACAGTGATGTAGTGTGTGTTAGTATATT